AACGCAGTAATGCGCGAATATCAAAGATAAAAACATTTAAGATAAAAAAGTCTTTAATAATCATCTGATATTTTATGTTACGACCATTAAAAATTATTATTATTAACATATTATGTATTTTCCTTGTTTGTTTTCTAACTTATTAGCTTCTTATTTAAGAATATGGGTATAAATTTAACCACCAATTTCTAAAAAAAGAGTAAATAAAAACAGAAAAAAAAATATAAAATCGAATAAGCAAAGTGAAATGAGCTTCTTTTCTTCGCTGCTAGGATATAAAAATCATCCCAGTAACTATCCTCTGGTAAAATAATAAACAGACATTGCGATTCAAAATCGCCGCAGAGGCGGTATTTCTTTTCTCAACAAACACGCACGTGCGTAACCTTTTGTCGCGAACCCACGTGTGTACCTTGGCCTCGCCAACGACGCGGTAGCTCGCGCATCGGGTCAGCACTCGGTACAATTTTACGGACTCGGTGGCATTGATGCACGAGATTGGGAACAGGTAGGATAGGGTATTTCTGCAAAACGCGCGCCATCGAGATCGAGGGCCTCAGGGGGGCGAGATGACCGGACCGCGACCGGAGGGAAACAAGCGGCCCGAGAACGAGGACAAAGGATGGCGTCGATACCCCCCCGTAGGTGCATCTACGATATCATCTACCCGTGTTTCTTCTCCGCGTTATGCTTATGTCCGTGCATACGTAAGAGCCGGGCTTTATCCGCGCGTCCGGCGCGCAAACTGCGCGAGCCGGAGACCGCTGCGTGATCTACCGTCCCGAGATTCCAAGGAAAGAACCGCGACAATCCACTTACCAGCTTAACCCCGCGTTGATTATCTGCCCGCCGTCGCCGTCGCCGTCGTGTTTGCGTTTTACGCGAGGACTAACGGGAGTACGGGACGCATTCCGTAGGGCCGGAGATCGAGGTCGCTAGGAATCCGCGCGACGCGTCCTGCTGGACACGCGAGAGAGATATTTGCATATTTAAGAGATAATATAAGAGATATTTACATTCGTGCGACGCGATGATCGATACGCGAGGTATGCATTTTTCCGTACATGCACATTGTAATCCGTCTTGTCGAAATTAGTCGTGCCTTGATTACAGGTATATCTGCATAAAAAGGCCAGTTTTGCTGTAGGATATCTAAAAATTTCGCCAGATACAAATTCAAAAAATGATTTCATCGAATCATTTTTAAATTTGTAAAATAAAAATTTCTTACAACTTTTTTACAGTTTTCTTTAAATAATTATATAGAACTCATTTAAATAACACTGTAAAAACTTTGATATTTTAACGATCAATTTGAACATTCATTCTACATGATTATTTTGATGACCTAATAAAATTATTTTCAAATTTAGTCAAATTTTTAAATATTGCCAAACAATCAAACATAGTTTGTTTAACAAAAAAATATTCGAACGCATGGCATCACATGAAAAGGAATATTGTTTCACGATTACATACGGAATATGGATATTTATTTTTTGCTCCGTGTCTCTCCTAAACAAACGTAAACAGAATTTTTTTTTGCACGAAACGTCAAGTTCTTGCCTGACAACTCGGTCCGTAAATGCCGATTATAACTACATAATATGACTTATAAATATATATGCGCACATGATATAATACGATTTACAAATATATATAAACATTATAGAAATAATTCAATTAATGCGAAAACATACACTGTCTTAAATATAAACTAGATTTTCAATCAAGAAAATTTCACATTTTCTCGATCAGTGATGATTTCTTAAAATTGGACTGGAGAGAAAATGCGCATTGTCGTTTCATTCGGTGCGGACAGTGAGAGTAACGTTAGCGTTAACACAAACAATCTATCCATGCTGGAATCCAATGCCGAAGATATAGCGCCTTCTTTTGCCATATAAAGCTACGATAGGGTCGCAAGGGCAATATATACGTCCGGCAGGAGGGACGTATATATTCGCCCGTAATTGGAGCGCGTCGCTCGGCGAATCGGCCACGATATAAAACGAACCGTATAAAGACCGTACTTTGGTCAGTTTTTGCACGCGGTTTTTAGCCGTCGTACCTATGGTGGTCTCGTTAGACCGGACGATGGGAGGTCCGGAAGAGATCCGCAGCCTCCGCGTACTGTATTATCGCATCTGTATTTACTCCACATATCGGAACGCATAAAATTCCTAGAGCGAGACTTTCATCGTGGAATGCCGTGTAAAAGTATCGGTAAACGGATGTTTTACAACTGTGAGCTATATTTAGATCTTCATTTGCACTTCGATTCGACATATATGTGTCAATCACTTTCTTGCTTGAAGATAGTTATTTCTGAATCACATCAAAAGACCGTATTCATATTTTGTTCTTATTTTGATACCGCCTTAAGTAATATCTTACGATGCTAATTTTAAGTATGTATCTTAATTATGAGAATGGGGATTATGAAATGTTAATCTAAGCATTCGTACAAAAAACAATTTTAAAATAACTAAACATAATATTTATTTTGAAAGCTTTTTGCTTTTATTATGAATTTTTAGATTTATCAAATACTTTTTTCTAATGACCTAAAATTTTACAATATGACTAATAAAATATATTGTCGGACTTAATAGTCGTGATGTGCGAATACTTATATGGAAAGGACAGTTTTGCTGTAATATCTAAAAATTTAGCCAGATATAGATTTGAAAATAATTTAGTTGAAACATCAAAATTAATATGTAGGACGTTTAATAATAATAATATTATAAAAGGTTTTTATATTTATCGCAATTAGTTTGAATGTCCTATATAAATATTTTGGTGGTTCGATAAAATTATTTTCAGATTTGTATCTGGCTAATAAATTTTTAGCAAAAATATTTGTTTCCGTGTAAATGCGATGCATTTGCCTTAGAAATAATTAGATGTTCAAAAGATTAGATATTCAAAACGACGTATTCAACGAAGCAACAACAAGTCAACAAGGCTATCATTATCATTAACAAAGTTTATTGGGACCATTACCGTATTTTTCTTACACATTCGAGTGCCGCCTTTATTCTAATATCATATATTCACATCTCGACAAATATATTTTCAATTTTGCTCTTTATATTTTGATGCACGATACAGGATGTCGCCGGGTGGAGTACCCAGAAGCCCATTAATTATGTTAAACAAGAGGGGACCCGCACATGGGACACAGCTGAAGACGCAAATAATATCGGAAACGTAAAGTATTTCATCGGGCAAAGTTATAAGTTACGCCTAATGAATCGAAGGAGTCTAAAAAACGCGGAGTCTCTCGCTCGTTGTGGTGAAGGAAGCGAGCGCGGAAGCTATCAGACCGCACGATCTAGCCTACCGTTTACCAGCCAGGGTATTAGAAGTTGTCACAGGTGCTCGCCCGTATACCACGCACGCACGCACGCACGCACGCACGCACGCACGCACGCACTAAGAAAACGGGTGAAGACTCTGTCAAAGGGAGCCCGTGTGTATGTTTGGCTTTCCCACAGTTTTGCGCGCGACTTTTGCTATCCCGCGGCCGGCCTCGCGCCGGCGTTTGCCGACGGACAGACGGAAGCCATCGCGAACTTCAAAGATTCGCGATCGGGATGCCTCGAGTGGTATAGGCAATGCATATTATCACGGTGCCCACCTATAGCCAACATGTCCTCATCCGTGCCGGCGTTCTCGGCAGCGCGTGCACACAAAGTCGAGGACTCGGCCAACACTCCAACGGCAGCGCGTTTACCGTCCAAGACCGACGGTCCGGACAAAGTGCACCTTGCCGATGTGGCTAATGGCAATCTTGTTTTATGCCTGGCGGTTCGGCGCGCGACAAAAATCACATTTGCACGTGAGCCAGATTACTTATTACCCGGAGACGTGTGTCAACTTTGGCCGGACCGGCGACGTTCGAGGCCTCCGATTTCCTCGTCGTGCCGTCGTTCGGAAAACTCCGAACTCCGCCATAAAGTGACTTATGTCCACGATGCATTGTGTGTTTTGAATAATTCGGCCAATTGACTAATGCGATTGGACAATTCTCCTTTTGTCTGAGATCTCGGACCTATTTCAAGCATCGTGGACACAAGGTCGTTAAGAGTCATCGTGATAATTTTCGCACGCTTCGCAGCTATCGATCTTTTTTGGAAAACCACTTCGCATTCATGCGAGGGACTCGTTGAAATTAATTCCCAGCACGAGTCCACGATGCTGACATTTATTGACTGACGCTTATTAAAAGCAAATTTCGACGATGCGGCGCATTACAGGTAGCGCTTCTCGTTCCGCGGTAATCCCGTGATATATCCAATAATTGCCGCGCAGCGGTCGTTTAAGATTCAATCGCCGAGTAAAGTATCGATACGCGAGAGCGTTCAAACCGGATTGGTAAATTACAAACGTTTATATACGACTCCATCAATCATCGGCTCCGACGCGGGCAAGCCGTGCGTTGCATGGAACTGCGCCACGCGATGATAACGACTGACAAGTGTCGAGAATTAGTAACGTTTTAAGCGTGCGTCAGTCATCGTTGGAGTAACGAGGAATTAAAATGCGAGCGAGAAGTAAAAAAAAAAAGAAAAAAAGAAAAAAGCGCGGTAGTCGAACAATCGTCGAGTTCAAAACTCGATGGAAGGGCTCGGGCGATGCAAGAGAGGGATCCGAAGTACGATCGAACGAATCGTGTCGCTGTCAGTAACGATGCATTAACGTTCATATCGCATTCCAACCCTTCGTCCGCTCGATTACATCGCGCTCATACCGTCCTGTACGCGTACACACGTATGTTGTCCTCTTCCCTGTAAACGTAAATCGATACACTTTTTCTTCGTTACTCACGTCGCTTCGAGACTTCCGTGTAAACCGTATAAAAATATTTCGCGGTTTCGAAACAGACACGATCGGAGCAGCGTACCGGTCATTATATTATGAAAAGGTACTTTCTTTCTAAATTGATGCAACGTTACCCTTTTATTACACCCGCATTTCGCTGACTAAACTTCATTCTACTATACTTCGCGGTCCGCTCCAATTATTGTCGATCGATATATCGCAAGTTGAATTCAATTCGTCAGACAACATTCCTGTAATTGTAAAAGAAGTGAATCGCGCATATTCCCGTACTTCGAGAAGAGCTATCAAAGAAGATAACTTCGCCGTGATTCCAATATCCTCCTCAACCTCGGACTTCGGCATCTCGTCGAATTCCCGCGGTCGGCTCGGCTAGCACGAAGGGATTCGGAGGAGGGAACGCGAGGTTAAGCGGGTCGGGATAAGTGAAATCGCAATAATTACCGGCGGCACGGATCACAAATCCCGCAATACGGTAGTTGGTAGGCGGGATGGTCTACCAACAGGCGCATACAGGTATTATACGC